AGGAAGTCTGCAAAAAGGAAAGATGCCAAAGGCATCAAGGTCCCTTCCAGCCTACGATTCTATGAAATGCTGATTTATTGAAATTTATGGGCGTTTATATTGAGAAGGTAAAGTTACTCTTGCTATAGAACACATATCTCAGTCCCAATACAAAGCACATATACACCTCTACCCCGATATAACATGACCCAATATAACACGAATTTGGATATAACGCGGTAAAGCTGCGCTCCGGAGGGGGGCGCCCTGTGCACTCCGGCGGATCAAAGCAAGTTCAATATAACACAGTTTCACCTATAACGCGGTAAGATTTTTTGGCTCCCAAGGACAGCATTATATCAGGGTAGAGGTGTATTACTGTCTATGTTATGAGAATGCTTGCCATTAATACCATGCATACAATCTATCAGTACTGATCACTCTGTCTAAAAAGCACTCCCAGGACACAAGTCAAAGATTAGTAGAGTTAATGAATATTTAATTATTTGGATGGATCTCAAAGGAATCATTTCAGCCACCACTAAAATAATGCTGCCTTTTGGTAAAATAAGCAACTGTGTAACAGTGCATACTAGTAGTACACAACCTCAAGTAAACTACTAAGAATTATAGGCGGCTCACACATTCAAAGCCACATATTGAGGGCCAGCTACTCCCAACCTGCACAAAAAAAGTATTCCAATTATAAACAAGTGAATTCTGAATTGCCACCACATCCTCTCTTCAGGGTATTTATGAATGTACAGAAAGGCCTTCAACTGTGAAAAGCCCAAGTTTCCGGAGGAAAATCTGGTCCCATTCCCTTAGCTTCCAGGACATCCACATAGATACTAGCCTTTGCATTGCCTTTGGCATATTCCTAGAGCTGTACTGCTACTGGATCACTAGCTCAGCTATTCACTGCAGATTGGATGCCACAAAGGAGAAGTTAATGGTCTAAGGGGCAGTCTTAACCTGTACGTAAATTTACACTACTAGAAGTGCAGTTCAATACAGAGCAGCTACTCCCTGATTAAGGTCCAACAACTCTCTAAAAACCCATGTAATCCCAACTGTGTGATGTTTCAAAGAGCAGATTCCATCAATGTTACAGAGAAGAATGCTACACAGACACCACTCTCAAGTCTGCATAGCTGCTCAGAAGCATTCTTTTCCCCTTCCAAACATTTCTTTCTTTTTCTATTGTATTGTTTAGATACAACCATCACAAAGTAAACAGCAGTCTTGCTGTCCTGTTTTCCCTACTTCGCTGAAAACCTTTGCCTCAGTCACACATGTGCAGTAATCGGAACTTGCCCCTCCATTTCAAGCCATTCAATGTGATGGTAGTATTTAAATGCTCCCAAATAGGCTTTGACATTACCATTAAGCAAACAATGCTAGTTCTTTTACCTTCTTTTAAAAATAAGGAAATTCAGCCTCTTGCAAAGACTGCAAAGTTAAAAAACATAGAAATGACACAAAAAGCAAGTTTGCAGTTTTGTAGTTCTGTTGGTTCCAGGATATTAGACAAGATGGGTGAGATAATATCTTTTATCAGACCAACTTCTGTTGGTGAAAGAGACAAGTTAAAGTTCTGACATGAACCAACCTTCCAAAAGAAAAAAAATTAACTGTAGATAAGATATGGAAAGTCTCATTCTAAAAAGCAATTTCAGAACATTAAGTGTGTACAAACAAGAACATAAGAACGGCCATACTGGGTCAGACCAAAGGTCATCAAACCCAGTATCCTGTCTACCGACAGTGGCCAATGCCAGATGCCCCAGAGGGAGTGAACCTAACAGGTAATGATCAATGATCACTTTTCTGCCATCCATCTCCACCCTCTCACAAACAAAGCCTAGGGACACCATTCCTTATCCATCCTGGCTAATAGCCATTAATGGACTTAACCTCCATGAATCTATCTAGTTCTCTTTTAAACTCTGTTATAGTCCTAGCCTTCACAACCTCCTCAGGCAAGGAGTTCCACAGGTTGATTGTGCGCTGTGTGAAGAAGAACTTCCTTTTATTTGTTTTAAACCTGCTCCCCATTAATTTCATTTGATGGCCCCTAGTTCTTATATTATGGGAACAAGTAAATAACTTTTCCTTATTCACTTTCTCCACACCACTCACGATTTTATATACCTCTATCATATCCCCAGTTAGTCTCCTCTTTTCCAAGCTGAAAAGTCCTAGCCTCTTTAATCTCTCCTCATATGGGACCCGTTCCAAACCCCTAATCATTTTAGTTGCCCTTTTCTGAACTTTTTCTAATGCCAGTATATCTTTTTTGAGATGAGGAGACCACATCTGTACGCAGTATTCAAGATGTGGGCATACCATGGATTTATATAAGGGCAACAAGATATTCTCTGTCTTATTCTCTATCCCCTTTTTTAATGATTCCCAAGACAGTATAAGAGAGTATCGGAATGAAGCAAGCCCTATAATATGCTATGGAAACACTTTAAATAGCTACATAGTATCAAACTGCATCAGAGGGATTCACATCTTTAATGGAGAACGCTGATTTTAAACTGTACCTTCATTTTTCATAATGATGTTGACGATTCGCCCCACAGTATCGTTATTGTCATTTACACTTTCATTCATTTCTATGGGGGGAAAACAACAACATATAGTCAGTATTACAGCCTCCTAGAAATTATTTTTCCTATGGTAAAGTAAGAAAAACAGGAGAACATCTCATGGAATATATAAGTATTATATCACTACCATATTAAAAAAAACAACACTTTTTATGGATTTTAGTAACAATCCTGAAGACAGTCCTGCAGCCCTATTCAGGCACGATTTTCTCACTACAGACATCAGGGCTGAGTTCTTAAGTTCCATATTTTATGTATTTCATCTAATACCCCCTGAAAATTCAAAATTTTCATAAAACTTTGAAATATCAAAGTTTATCATCACTTTCATCCTCCTTCTCACCTCGATTTTAAGAGAGCAGAAGGAATCCAAGTCTCAGCAGAAAATGGGTTTGGAGATTAAGCTACCACATATGGAATGCCTCACATTTGACTAGTAACAAATTAACCAGTTGCTGCAGGGAAGCTTGCACTGCTATACTGTTAGCCACAACAGACTGTAGTATCTAAGACTGTAAATTCAGCGCCTTTCACTACAAATAGGAAGACAGGAGTCAAGTACTGCCAGCCCCAAGCATTCAAATATCACGAGCCAGACCCTCCCAAAATCATGAGATTATCTTAAAAATGGAAAGATTTTATAAAAATACTAAATTTTAGATTTTTTGTTTGCCTTCTAGTGTTTGAACCTTTAGGATTTGCTTTTTCAAGCTTTTCCATACAACATAGGGATAGAAATTTTTTATTAAATGAAAGCCACGATTTTCATTTAACAGCATGACTCCAGGAGCCAGGGCTTTAAGAAAAGGCACTAAATAGAATGAGTATATAAATATACTTGTGTACAAAATCTCTGAATTGAGAACTCTTGGGGTCACAAAAAGCCTTCTCAAAGTAGTTTAAGGGGTGAAAATTGACCCTGTGACTGTGGATAACGAATATACCATTGCCTTTCACCCTCTTATAGGGCTGCCAACTTTCTAATCCCTGAAAACCAAACACCCCTCCCCCACTCCTTCCTTGAGGTCCCACCCCCCTGCCCTGCCTCTTCCTCCGAGGCTCTGACCACCACCCCAACTGTCCCCCCCCGTCACTCTCTCCCCATTCCTGCCTCTGTCACTCACTCCCTCATCCCCTGAGACTCACCTGCCACTTACAGAGCTGGGCTGGCAGGAGCTGGCGCAGAGCCTGCCCAATCGGGGCACAGTGGGGCTGGGGTGGGGAAATCAGGGCACAGTGGAGTGGGAGGGCAGTCCCTGGAGCAAGGGGCTGGGGTGGGGAATTCAGGGCACAGCGGGGTCCATCCCTAGAGCAAGGGACTGGGGCAGAGGGGGAATTGGTCCCCGGAGTGAGGGGCTGGAAAATCGGGACACAACGGGGCAAGAGGGCAGACAGGTTACACACAAACCCTTGGACGGCGCCAGTACCTACTTTGGAGCCCAGTCCAGGAACCAACCAGTTCTCTGTCAGGTTGGGGGGGCAGGGAGAGCAGCAGCTGCTAAACAGAGCCGCTCCTCCAGGCTCCAGCAGCCGCTGTTGCTCTTCCTGGCCCCCCCGGTGGCGGAGGCCACTGACCGGAGGCAGCCAAACAGAGGCTGCCAGTTTCCCTTTTCGACCGGACATTCCGGTCGAAAACTGGACATCTGGCAACCCTATGTGGCAACAAAAATATAGAGAGAGTCACTTCCTTATTCAATATTTTAATTTTATTAGAATAGGAAAGAAAGCATTATTCCTAAAGCTACTTGGTCTCTCTGCTTCACTGAGGAGCTCCTGCCAGTCTCCTGAATAGAACCCACCCTATCATTCCTACCCGACCTCCAGGTACAAAGTTAAAGAAAAATACCCACGGCTCTCACAGGACCTCCCAATAAAGACAGCAACGGGAACAACCTACCAGGCCTAAGCTTCTCTCCTCTGCTCCCAAGTCAAATAAGTAACTTCAGCTCCACATGCTACTGAATTCATGGAACCACTAACACACACTCCAAGTACTTTTTGACAAGTAAGGGGACAAGAACAAGAGTACAAAAGAACAGAAGTTAGAGAGGGAAAAAGGGAAAAGATGAGGGGGAAAAAATAATAGCAACAAATGTGCTAAGGCCTGACACCAAAGAATATAGAAAGAGCACACCAATGTTCCAGTACATCACAACAGGGGAGAAGAGAGAGGGTGGAAACCATAGTACCAGAGTATTAAATTTACTCAAATAAAATTAAAGTATCTGCACTGTTAAACACACACCAAAAAGTTATGCTTTAATAAAAGCTGGTTTATGGATATCTATCTTTAAAAGAGTTATGCACAGCACTCTATTGCTACTGACAGAGATGAAATACAAAAAAAGTGATTAGCTACTCAGATCTCAGTTTATAGTCACAAAAGCTATAAAGTATTTTGTATGCAGTGTTGTTGTAGCGTGTTTGTCCCAGGATATTAGAGACACAAGGTGGGTGAGGTAATACAACGTCTGTTGGTAAGAGAGACACTAAGAGCCCATGTCTCTTTTACCAACAGACGTTAGTCCTATAAAAGATATTACCTCACCCATCTTGTCTCCATGAAGTATTTTGGACATTTTGATCCTTCAAAAAAAGGTTTCAAAAAGTATATTTTAGAGGACTGGCATTGGGAATTGGTAGAATTTCCTAATGGAGGTCACTTGGTTAGGTTGGGAATGGCCAAAAGTAATTACCATTTGATTGTCTGTTAAGTCAACGTTCTTAAACTATTTAATAGAGGATATATATTATGGGGGGGTGGGGGGAGGGATCATTCCAGATTAGTAACATACCACATACAAATTAACAAAAAGACATTGACATTACTTACCTATCTTTTCTTGAAGTTTTTCCTCTTCAATTTCTTGCTCGGCCTCTGTTGTACACCGATACCCTTTTTTCTGAAGCACGTGACAGATGAGGATCCCCAAAAGGCCCATGATGAAAAAGACAGGAACCAACCCATAAGCAAGATATTCTGGATGCATACCACTTCCTGTGTGATCACCGACAGCGTGCGTTGTAGTACTTTCTAAACTATGGCTTGCCAAAACATTAGGAAAATCTTGATTTCCTACGTAAAATAAATAAATGGTTATGAAGCACAGTTCTAGATAATACTTTGCACTTCCAAGCAGCTCTGACTTTAGGCTCTCAAAGGATTGGGTGAATTATGAGCCTGACCCTAAGATCACTGAAGTCAATAGGAGTCTTTCCACTGATGGATCCAGGTCCATTGATGAATTAAGCCACAAACCCCTATAACAAGTAGGTATTCTCTGTTTTACAGATGGCGAAACGAGCACCGACGAGGATAACCTGACACCACTTTAAAAATAGGACCCTTACAGTTCTTATCTTCCATAAAAAAAAAAATTGAGATACTGGAAGGATCCATATCTTCCCTATCTGAGTGGAAACTGGATGTAGCACCAAAGATGCCAACTTTCAGCTTTCCCTGGGGGTGCTCCACCCCCCGTCCATCCCGTCCCCCAAGTCTCCACCCTCATCCTGCCCTCGCTCTGCCCCAACACTCCTGAGCATGCCCTGCCCTCGCTCCGCCTCTTCCTGCTCCTCCCCTCCCCCCAGCACCTCCCTCCCACCGTTGAACAGCTGATCAGCGGCAGGTGGGAGGTGCAGGGGGGGGGTAAGGGGAGGAGCTGATCTGAGAGGCCCACAAAACAACTGATTGGGGGTGGCTGCTGAGTACCCACTATTTTTTATCATGGGTGCTCTAGCCCTGGAGCCTATGTTTAACACAGACCCTTGTAATGGGAAAAATATATATCACCAAATTTAGGAGAGGCAACCTGTTCTTCCCATACTGGGGTGCTACAAGACATATAAGGAGGCTTTTACAGTAGAAGTAACATCTTTTACTCTTCCTCCTCAATTTTCACCTCATACATATCAACAAGGTGAAAATTATCTTGTTTAACTGAACTTCAATACGATTACTTAAAAGTTAGTTTTTATTTCCTCCCCATAATATTGGCACACAGTTTGGACCAACCTGTAACTTTAAATGCTTCTCACTGAAAAAAGTTTACATCCATTATTTGCTTATACCAAGTGAAGATTTTATGTACAGACTTTGTCTAATCTGCTCTCTGTACCTTATGGAATACAAAATGTGCTAAATGGTTTACGAAATCAGGGTGTCATACATGCACAGCGGCTGTTAAAGTGAAAGCAATTAGTCACCTTTAATGACTTGCTACTTAAAATAATACGCACACCCCTAAACTCCATTAAGATTTGTTGATTTCTAAAAAGATTCTAGAATATAAAATCTTCTAAATCTGAAGTAAAAAAGCACAGCTTGTACCAAGAACTTGTACATTATAATGTAAGTGAAAGATCTGTTCTATACTGACATTTAAACTCTCACAAACATTTCACTAATCAGCTGAATAAAAAAGTTTACTGCTATGGATGTAGAGGCAGATGGCCTTTCTGGAATAGGAAATACATGCAAATGTTTTAAAGACAGCAGTCAATGTTTCAGATTTTACTGCATATGGCTCATTTTGATTAAGAGACCAATTTTGGTTTTATCTGTGCAATACTATTCGAGTACTCCAAATTCTTTCTACATAGCGTCTGCTCCTGCTACTAAATCACAGGCAGATCAGTTTGTAGGTCTGCCTTACCTAAAGATATTAAATATTGCAGAGAATGTGGGAATTCTTTCCTTTCCTCTATCATCCCTCTTTTCTCCCTGTCCCATCCCCCCAAATAATTTTGAAGTTTGGAAGGAAAGTAACATGGCTAAATTAGGAAGACCCACCAACAGCCAGTGGAAAACTAAGAAAGGTGTGAGAACAACTGGGCAAGTGGATTCTCCTACCTAAAACAGCCTAAAAGAAGAGCACTCTCAAAATACCTGAGAGCCACTTATGGACTAGGCATGATGAAGGCAGCCTCTCTGCTATAGCAGGTTTCAGAGTAGCAGCCGTGTTAGTCTGTATCCGCAAAAAGAACGGGAGTATTTGTGGCACCTTAGAGACTAACAAATGTATTTGAGCATAAGCTTTCATGCGCTACAGCATGCATGCATCCGATGAAGTGGGCTGTAGCCCACGAAAGCTTATGCTCAAATACATTTGTCAGTCTCTAAGGTGCCACAAGTACTCCTGTTCTTTCTGCTATAGCAGTTAAGTCTACAGTTACCTGTGCCAACCTTGCTAGCTTCCTTTGTACTGCTCAGATGCTTGGCTTCTATCCCATTCATCCAGTTCCTCCTTTTGTTTCACACATACATCTCATTTCCCTTGAATTTTGCAATATTCCTGGATTTATGGTCCTGTGACATCAGCAACAGCAGGGGTGGAAAAAGGAAATGCTGCAGCTCAGCCTTCAGAAGTGCATGACATTTTTTTAACCTAATGCTGGATGTAAATAAGTTTGAGAGAGAGGGAGCCCATGTGCATGTGTGTGTAAAGGAGGAGCAAGCGAAACGAAACCTTTGCAGTTTAGGTTTAGATATTTTGTAAGTAAATTTAAAAATTATTTTTTTTAAAATTAATGGAGATATCCCATCTCCTAGAACTGGAAGGGAGCTTGAAAGGTCATTGAGTTCAGCCCCCTGCCTTCACTAGCAGGACCAAGTACTGATTTTGCCCCAGATCCCTAAGTGGCCCCCTCAAGGATTAAACTCACAACCCTGGGTTTAGCAGGCTAATGCTCAAACCACTGAGCTATCCCTCCCCCCTATATTGCTATTTGAGTATGAACTCAAATAGCAATATAGCTTGGAATGGGACAAATATTTAAATTTGTATTCCAAATGTATTTAAAAACTTAAACGATATACTCCGTACTGTAAGGTATGTTAAAGATACATTGTTATTGCAGTAACTAAAAGCAAGTGTTTGAACAAATGGCTTGAAAAAAAGAGGATATGGGATATGCAAGTCTATTAAAAATTGTATGAAGTTTTTGCAAAAAAGTGAAAGATCTCTAGCAAGTTTTTTCTCTGCAGAAAGAAGAGCTCCCAACATTTGTGCAATTTAGATAAATGTAGTTTTCTTATTAAATTAAGTAAATGTAACTTAGATTTGAAATTCATGAACCAGGTCCTCACTATTCCCTCTTTGCTGGAGGTCTTTAACAAGAATGTTGAAGGACCTGAATAGTGATGTTACATGACAACAACCTGGAATTGCAGCTTCCCACAAAAGTGAGCAGGGAAATTCTGATAGAAAGCAAGTGGTGTCCACTAAGGACTTGTCTAGAAAATTAGAAAAAGTTTTACCCATAAAAGTTCTTATGGAATACTGCTACTGACGCCATAGCTATTTCAACAGAGAGAGTGAACATTTGGCTACTTTTTTTGCAGTTTTTTCACCTGACCACCAGAAGCCACACAGATCAGTGGAACTTCTCTTGCCCATTTTAAGGACAGGGTAAGGGATTTTTTCATATTTGCAAGAACCACACTGTCGAGACAGAGGATGAGTGGAAAATAGCAAAACAGCTAACCAGATACTGTAGGTATTCACTGACAAACTGCACACAGTGTAACAGTGTTTTGGGGGCCTGTACTACAAGCACTGAGTGGTAGGACTAGATCATGATGCAAATCTGGGATGATCAGCAATAGCTCCAGAACTTTTGTATGTGCAAGGCCACATTCCTGGTGTTGTATGCCACACTCATCCCAGCACTAAAGTGCATAGACACCAAGACAAGAGCTGCTCCGACAGTAGAGAAATGGTTGGTAATTGTTCTCTAGAAGCTTGCAACCCCAGTTGCTATTGGTGGGTGAGCAATCAACTGGGCATTGATGAAAGTCTACAGTGAAGGCTGTTGTCATCCAGTTGTGTAAGACAATGAAACATCTCCTACTTCACAGGCTTGTCAGACTGGACGTGTCCACGAAACAATAGCTGATTTGATGAAATGGGACTTCCTCAATCAGGGTAGGGCAATAGATAGGATGCTTTTCCTAATTCTGACCCCCACCCCAAACTGCTTCTGAGGACAAACAGAAAGGGGTACTTCATGCTTATGCAAGCATTGATGGACCACCATAGAAACAAAGGCCTGCCTGGAAGGAACCTCGAGAGGTTGTCTAGTCCAGTCCCCTGCACTCATGGTAGGACTAAATATTAACTAGACCATCCCTGACAGGTGCTGGTCTAACCTGCTCTTAAAAATCTCCAAGGATGGAGATTCCACAACCTCTCCAGGCAATTTATTCCAGTGCTTAATCACCCTGACAAATAGGAAGTTTTTCCTAATGTCCAACCTACACTGCCTTTGCTGCAATTTAAGCCCATTGCTGCTTCTCCTATCCTCAGAAGTTAAGGAGAATATTTTTTCTCCTTCCTCTTTGTAACAATTTTTTATGTACTTGAAAACTTATGTCCCCTCTCAGTCGCCTCCTTTCCAAACAAACCCAAGTTTTTCAATCTTCCCTCATAGAGTATGTTTTCTAAACCTTTAACCATTTTTGTTGCTCTTCTGTAGACTTTCTCCAATTTGTCCGCATTTTTTTCTGAAATGTGGCACCCAGAACTGGACACTATAGTCCAGTTGAGACCTAATCAGCACAGAGTAGAGCAAAATAATTAACTCATGTCTTGCTTACACATCCCAGAATGTTTGCTTTTTTGGCAACAATATTACACTATTGACTCATTTAGCTTGTGATCCCCTACAACCCCCAGATCTCTTTCTGGAATACTCCTTCCTAGGCAGTCATTTCCCTTTTTGTATGTGTGCAATTGATTGTTCCTTCCTAAATGGAGTACTTTGCATTTGTCCTTATTGAATTTAATCCTATTTACTTCAGACCATTTCTCCTGTTTGTCCAGATTATTTTGAATTTTATTCCTATCCTCCAAAACACTTGTAACCCCCTCTGACCTGGATATCATCTGCAAATTTTATAAGTGTATTCTCTATGCCATTATCTAAATTATAGATGAAGATATTGAACAGAACAGAACCCAAAACTGATTCCTAAAGGACCCCACTCAATATGCCCTTCCAGCTTTACTGTGAACCACTGATAACTACTCTCTGGGAATAGTTTTCCAACCAGTTATGCACCCACTTTATAATAGT